TATAGCGCCTATCAGCGCTTTCTGGGATGCCCACCCAAGGAAGAGCTGGAGGGCCTCTTGATGACAACGGATAAAACGTGGGACAGAGCGGTGGCGGGGCATGAGAGGATCTCAACAGGACAACGCTGGATTCGTTGGATGGATGAGTATCTGAAATGTACACATACCACCTCCTGGTAAGCAGGGGTAAAATAATAAAAAAACAGAGGGGGGAAGTTGGGTGGAGATCCACTTTAAATACTTTAATTGTTAATGTATTCAGCAGTCTTGTGATCACTACAACACTATCACAAGCTGTGTATGTCAAGGTCATGGATGGGGTAAAAGTTGCAGTGTTTGGTCGTTATTAGTGACATTGCTGTTGGCTTTAGGGTTCTGTCATTGAAACGCATGGCAAGCCTTGAGATGTGATGGGACTTCCCGAGATCTCATAGGTTGACTACAGGATCCTGCAGGCATGCTGTGCATAAGTGTGACTTCCTGCAGTCCCAATGAGATGGGAGGGTGACAACGCTATCACATCATTAGGGGGCTGTGGTTAGTACTGTCACTGATTTACAGGAAGCTGATATAAGAATCTGCTACAATCAACAGATATTTGGTACTAATGTTTATGTTTACATACTTTTTAATCTTAGTAATACTTTGCACATATATTGTTATGCTGCTTTATTAAATAATATATAATAAGATTTTTAATTTCGCTACATAAATAAGGTTTTCATTTTGCTTTGCATGGTAATGACATAAATGAGGAAGATGAATAGTTAGTAAGGAGCAAGATAAAAGTGGGAAACACTATAGCATAGCTTTCGAGAGACTGTCCCTCATTTGGAACAAAGTCCATCTTTCCCTCTTTCCACCTCATTTGTCCCTCATTTTGGTCTATAGTTGCATACAAAATTTATCCATCAAAAAGTATTTTACAGTGCTAAACCTTTCATCCAATTTTTAAATTGCTGCATTTGGATATTTCCAAAGCCAATAGAAAGAAATAGTAGTGGTCAAAAAACCTACTTCTGGGTTTATCCTACAATTTTTTTGTCTGAAATTCTCCTTTAAGGGGGGTGTGGCAGGGGGGCATTTCCTAAGCTTACAAACTTTTGTCAATAGGGGTCCCACGTTCTCATCTCAGAAAGTTGGCAGGTATCACTATAGAACTTAAAATAATATAGCGAAAGCTAAAAGAGGACAAAATTGTCAGTGAATACAAGCACAACTTGTTGCTTCTTCATTCAGTTTGTTATTATGGTAATAAATGTACTGATGATAGGACCCTTTGCTAAATACTACTGCACATCTGTGTTTACACGCGCATGCATGTATTACGTATCCCCTGGAATGTAAAATTTTCATGTTCAGGGAATACGTGCAGCACTGACCAGTAATGGAGGGGGGTTAAAAGCACTGACCAATAATGCAAGGTAGGGGAAGGAAATGCATGCATAGAGAGCATATGTGTATATTGCCACTTATGCCAGAATCAGAACAATAATTTAAGGCCCTTCATTTATGGTTAACTCTGGACTGATGAGCAGCAAAGGCATTAACCACTTGCCCTCCTGAGGATTTACCCTTTTTCTTAACCAGGCCATTTTTTGCGTTACGGCGCTACATTACTTTAACTGACAATTGCGCAGTCATGCAGCACGGCACCCAAATGAAATTTACGTTTCCTTTTTTCCCATGAATTGAGCTTGATTTCAGTGGTATTTGATCGCCTGTGTGGTTTTTTATTTTTTGTGCTATAAAAAAAAAACAAAAGACTGACAATTTTGAGAAAAAAAAAATTATATGTTTTACTTTTTGCTATTAAACATGTCCAGTAAAAAATTTTTTAAAAATCAAACTTTGTCATAAAGTTAGCACAAAATGTATTCTGCTACATGTCTTTGCTAAAAAAAAATACCAATACGTGTAAATTAATTGGTTTACGTGAAAGTTATAGCATTTACAAATGGTATAGATACTGGAATGTTTTTTTTTTACTAGTAATGGCGGCAATCAGCGACTTATAGCGGGACTGCGGCAGGCATTCTGACACTGGGGGGAACTGACTTGGTGTCACTGACATCCCCAGTGACACCAATACAGCAATCAGTGCTAGCATGTGTGAAAAAATTGCTCTTGAGGAGAAGTGGTTAAAATAATACCTAGCAACCACAATATGAAGGTCTTTGGTTAAGCAATGCCTATAACAGGGTCACCCTGTCACCAGGCTACAAGGGGCCATATTAAAACACATTGTGCATGCATGGTCCACTGTTGTCACCATCAGGAATCCTGCGCTGATGCCAATCAGCCCTTGCTGGAGTGTATGCATATAGACAGGAACTGGCTGTATAAAGAAAGGATGAGATCAGCAGCACTGAGATGCAACAATAGTTGAAAAAAAAAGGTTAAAACAAGTACTGTGCTAACAAATGGCAATTGTCCAATCATGGGCAGATGAAAAATATATACAAGAATTTGCTTTTCTCAAGGGATGGATAATCACATACAGTAATTTTGTGAGTACTTTAGTAAATCTTCATAAGGCGCTAAGGAATTAAATATAGCAAATTAGTAGCAGATAAACAAAAATGTACATTAATATTGGTAGATGGTCATTTACTACTGGATACTGGATTTTTTTGTACCTTTACCCTTTGGGTAGTATCTTAGGTCACACAAAAGAAGTAAACTTTGTACATGTGTTTTTGTTGCAAAAAAGATTGGGTTTATAGCAGAATGCCAAATAACAAGATATGCCTTTCTAAAAAGTTACAACTGTGTTATTTATGTCAGAAGCAGGGGCGGACTGACCATTTGGAAACTCGGGCACTGCCCGAGGGCCCGGAGTCAGTAGGGGCCCCATGAGATACCTTTACCTTTTTCAAGGCTTTTTTGAGTTTGGGCAAGGACACAGGGGCCCCATGATCCCCTATTGCCCGGGGGCCCCATGAGTTGTCAGTACCGCCCCTGGTCAGAAGTGTCATCCTTGCCACGGAGCCTCATGGTACAAGTACAGTGCTGATTTCTAGGGGACAAAAAGGACTGTTACTCCAATATTAGTATACAGAAGCTGATAGATTTGGGTTAAGGCATTATTTTTGTTCATTTGTTCTTGTATTGCTATGATGAGCCTCATAATATAGTTGCTAGGCTGGTATACAGTTCATGCTAACAGAGATGCTTTCTTACACAGTAGTCTTGTTGCCAAATCCACTATGTTTCATCAGCACCATCACACAACCAGCTATGTTGGTGAGCAGTCTCCAGTATACAGCATGTAATATTTGTTGGGTCGCTCTCTGGTTGCATTAAATGATGGCACAATCAAACAAATAAAGAGTGAAGTAACAAGGTAGGAGAAGGCCTTGAACAACTACCCCATTGGGTAATGGTACACTTTAGCACAGCCCAAAAGGAACATTTGTCTTGAACTAACAAATACATTTCTTTTAATTTTTTTAAGGAGTTACTCTACCTAAAGCTGCTAAAGTATTTTAGATATGAGTGAATGCTGATGGGTTAACCCACCTTCTGTTTCCTTGCATCCATCTGCCAGCTATAATTTTTCTTTCCACCATTACATGGAGTCTAACTCTTCCTATTTCATGATGGGTCTCAATCCTTCTAGTCCTTCTAAATTATTTAAGGTACTCCTGTAGACCTTGATCAATAAAAGCTCATTTGTCACTACATTTTCTGAAATTTAGAAAAATATGATTCTTTATTATCAACACACACACTTGCATCTACTATCCACTGATCACAGTGGTCATCACAAGGCAGCTTGCTGAACAGACCTACCCTAAATTCCTTTAACCATATAAGAAATTAAGCTCTTGTCTTACATATCACTATCGATTGGCTTGTACCATTGAAAATACCTACATTTGTATAGTGACTACAAAATCACTTAGCCAGACTGAAAGGTACATTGTGGATTGTTCTCTTAGTCCTGGGAGATGCACTGATAGATGTCTGATATGAACTGAAAAAACTTGTGAAGTCTTGGCCAAGCTGATGTGGGCAAAATCTAAACTAGAGACAGTCATGGGACATTTTTATGCCAAACAATAGCTGTCAGTATATGATCAGTGTAAAGATGAGAGAACATTGAAAGAAAATAATATTGCCTAGGATACTATACATTAGTTGTATAATGAACATTGTTATCCACCAAAATGTCTTTTAAAAAGTATGTTTTTTATCTATGAGGATAGCAATTATTTTGCTGCAATCTTTCTAATTTAATGAATTCCCTTTTCTACTAGCAGCACAACACTTCTGCTGTAGTAAGAATCTTTGTACAGATTGATTTTGGGAACAAACATACTTTGGCTCATGAACACATTAGAATTGGCACAGACACAAAGACATGCTTTTCGAAACTAGAGCCCAGTTTTGGAAATGAAAATGAGTGTCCTTCTCTGTTAACTGATGAACATGACTTACCTGCTCCAGTAGTATAAGCTTTAGCTAAATAAGACTATGAACAATTTTACATAATTAACAAGACGAACTGTTACACCTTTTACAAATGAACTCCAAGAAGTTATGAAATACGCAACGTAATAGAGCTCTGTAATCTCCAAGAAATTTCAGGCAATTTGAGCACATCATTTGCCTTGGTATCAGCCTCTAGCAGTCACTGGACAGCACAGCATACATTGAGGAAGGAAGAAGCAGCAGCACAAGGAGCCAACCAGATGTGCTACACTGCAACAAACATGCTGATAGTAGGGGAGACCAGGGTGCTCATGCATGTGCGGCTTCTCCCCTCACTATCACAGGGTGGCAATGAGGAGGGAACCTGTAAGTGAAAGTGAAATGACAACAAAGAAAGCATAGGTCCCCTACCCTGTAAGTCAGGACTGTGCTGTGGGGCAGAGTTGTGTAAATCTTATGGTTGGATCTGTTTGTCTCGCTGTTGGACTGAAGTTCAACTTTAACTTTTTTTTCTGTTTTTAAAACTTGTCTTACAGTTTTTAATAAAAAATGTGATAGGTATTTTTTTTTTTCCCAAGTACCATAGTGTCTCTATTGTAAGAATAATATATATATACTGTGTGTGTATATATACACACTATATTGCCAAACGTATTGGAGCACTCCTCAAAATCATTGGATTCAGGTGTTCCAATCACCTTCATGGCCACAGGTGTATAAATTCAAGCACTTAGGCATGAAGACTGGTTCTCTACAAACATTTGTGAAAGAATGGGTTACTCTAAGGAGCTCAGTGAATTCAAGCGTGGTACCGTGATAGGTTGCCACCTGTGCAATAAGTCCATTCATGAAATTTCCTTGCTACTAAATATTCCACGGTCATCTGTTAGTGGTAATATAACAAAGTGGAAGAAACCGGGAACAACAGAAACTCAGCACGAAGTGGTAGGCCATATAAAATGACAGAGTGGGGTCAGCACATGCTGATGCGCACAGTGTGCTGAAGTCACCAACTGTCTACAGATTCAATAGCTGAAAACCTCCAAACTTCGTGTAGCCTTCAGATTAGCACAACAACAGTGCGCAGAGAGCTTCATGGAATGGGTTTCCATGACCGAGCAGCTGCATTCAAGTCTTACATTACCAAGTGCAATTCAAAGCATCGGATGCAGTGGTGTAAAGCACACTGCCACTGGACTTTAGAGCAATCCGATGAACGTGTCTTGGTTTGGTGGTTGCCAGGAGAACAGTACTTTCCTGACTGCATTGTGCCAAGTGTAAAGTTTGGTGGAGGGGGGATTATGATGTGGGGTTGTCTTTCAGGGGTTGGGCTTTGCCCCTTAGTTCCAGTGAAGGGAACTCTTAAGATGTCAGCATACCAAGACATTTTTGACAATTTTATGTTCCCAACTGTGTGGGAACAGTTTGGGGGTGGCCCCTTCCTGTTCCAACATGACTGCACACCAGTGCACAAAGCAAGATCCATAAAGACATGGATGAGTGAGTTTGGGGTGGAGGAACTTGACTGGCCTGCACTGAGTCCTGACCTCAACCCGATAGAATGGGATGAATTAGAGCGGAGACTGCAAGACAGGCCTTCTTGTCACAAATCAGTGCCTGACGCCACAAAAGCGTTTCTGGAAGAATGGTCAAACATTCCCATAGACACACTCCTAAACCTTGTGGAAAGCCTTCCCAGAAGAGTTGAAGCTGTCATAGCTGCAAAGGGTGGGTCTACTCAATATTGAACCCTATAGGCTAAGACTGGGATGCCATTAAAGCCCATGGTAAACTTTAAGGCAGGCATCCCAATACTTTTATATATACAGTATATATATATATATATATATATATATATATATATTTTTTTTTTATTTCCAATCTGAAGAAATAAATATATTTGTTTGCAACCTCACAGCTCATATCTATCCACAGTTGTGACATTCCTTATAAAGGCACACCTGTGAGTTAATTTCTGATGGCTGGTGCTCATTTTTCAAGCATGCAGTGATCAATAAATCAATTCACTTAGTGATATACTGCTGACTTTCCCAAGCAAATTGTTTAAAGGTTTTACTAGCAGAATTTCTGTTTATTCTAAATTTCAAAATGCCTAATTTATGCAAAAATGTACAGCAAAGAAAATGACATTAAATTGTTTAAAAAAACAGGTAGTTTGTATCATGATGCAAACTATTTGTCAATTCTATAGTTAATATGTAATGTCATTGGAAAGATTTGTTTTTTACAGTATAAAGTGTATGATTTTGTGAGCTCCCTTTTTTCCAGGACTTGCAATTTATGATCCTAGTTTTTATCAGCCATTGACTTAACATTTTAAAACTGAGCATGTTTAGATTATATACAGTGTTTATGTAGTAGACTGGATGCAAATCTGTATAACCACTATATTTTCCTCAAAATTAACTTGAAAATTAAGTGAACAGACACACTAAGGTATTCAAATTTTCTAAATAAGCAGTAAAAGCTATTTAAACAAACCCTCATTCACCTCTGTAGCTACATGCATCTTAGAGAACCTGAAAACCCTCTAACCCTCTAGGCCAGTGGTCTCCAAACTGTGGCCCAGGGGTCAGATGTGGCCCTTGGCTTGTCTAATTGATGGGGCACTATTTTTCCTATTGATACCAACAATGGGGCACTATTCCTTCCATTCAAACCAATAATGGTCCATTGTTATGCCCACTGATGTCAGGGTATTTTCCACTCCCACTGGAAACAGCCTGCCCCCCCTACAGTTTGAAGGACAGGAAACTGGCACTTTGCTTAGAAAGTTTGGAGATACCTGCTCTAGGCTGTTAGAAACCAACTGAAACCCATCTTTTACTTTGTTGTGAGATTTGAAGATCTTTTAGAATGTAATATTTCACATTACAAGCAGTTAGAGAGGTGACTGTTTTGTTTTTGTTTTTTCATGAATGCCAGTCTGCAGATTGATGTAAGCACCAGGCTTGTGATTTTTTTTGCAAACACTAAACCTTATAATCTAGAATGGGTGACTGAGGACAAAGAGGAGGCAAATGTATTAAATACCTTCTTCAGCTCTGTGTAAACAAAGGAGCATGGTGGAGCTCTTGTCCATCATAAGCATGGTATTGACACAGCTCCAGATGATCCACATTGGCTCACAATTGATATGATCCAAAAATATTTAGACAGAATAAAGGTGAAGAAAGCACCTGGACTGGATGGCATACACCCACAGGTCCTTAACCCCTTGGCGCTGGCACCTCCTGGCCCTTTAAGGGTTTCAGAAGCTGTGAGGCCGGGCAGGGTTTTAGGGTCATGTGACCACCGTGATTTGCCGTCACGGTGGTCACATGATCGGGAAAGGTCCTGATCGAAAGAGGAGATCGAAACCTTCCTGTGAGTACCAGACATGTGTGCTGGGAGCATGCAGGGCGCGCGCTCTCAGCATATGTTTTTTTTTAATTGCACACAAATGTGCGGCCGCTCGGCATCTAGGCCCAGACGCCAGGAGGCTGCACATTTGTGTGTGGCCAGCATGAAGAGGTTAAAGAATTGAGCTCTGTCATTTCAAAGCCATTGTTTCTATTTTTTAGGGACTCTTTAATGACTGGCATAGTACCACTGGATTGGTGTAAGGCCAATGTGGTGCCAATATTTAAAATGGAGTCAAAATCTTTACCAAGTAATCATAGACCTGTTAGTGTAACTTCTATAGTTGGGAAGATACTGGAGAGTTTAATAAAAGACCACATAGATGAGTTCTTGCTGGAAAAAAATATCATAAGCAACAGACAGCATGGATTCTTGAAAGACAGAATTTGTCAAACAAATCTGATTTATTTCTGATGAGGAGGTGAGCAAAACCTTGAACAGAGGGGTGGCGGTGGACGTGGTATACTTTGACAGAGGGGTGGCAATGGACGTGGTATACTTGAATTTTGCAAAATCGTTTAAAACAGTTCCCCACACATGGCTAATGTGTAAGGTAAAATCTACAGGCTTGAAAAAATCTGTATGTATATGGATAGAAAACTTGCTAAAAGATCGCATTCAAAGAGTAGTGGTTAATGATTCATGGTCTAGGGTTGTCAGTGGTGTACCCCAAGGTTCAGTGTTGGGACCCTTACTTTTGAATATACCTATAAACAATATAGGGTCTGGGAATAAAAATACTGTTTCAGTCTTTGCAGATGACACCAAGCTGTGCAGTGGAATAACGTCCTTACAGGATGTCTTCAACTTGCAAGGTGACCTCAATACACTGTTTAATTGGGCAACTATGCGGAAAATAAGATTTAATGTTGATAAATGTAAGGTTATGCACTTGGGGGCTAAGAATATGCATGCATCATACATGCTAGGGAGGTACAACCTGTGGAGAAGGATCTGGGAGTTCTGGTAGATCACAAGCTTAATAATGGCATGCAATCCCAAGCTCCGGTTTCTAAAGTGAGCAAAATCCTCTATTGCATTAAAAGAGGTATAGACTCCAGAGAGAGAGAGATATCATATTATCCTGGTACAAATCTGGAATATGCAGTTCAGTTTTGGGCACCAATTCACAAAAAGAACATTGGGGAACTGGAGAAAGTGCCGAGAAGGGCAACCAAACTGATAAGAGACATGGAGGAGCTCAGCTACAAGGAAATATTACATGAACTGAATGTATTCTCTCTTGAGAAGTGGAGATTAAGGGGGGATATGATCAACATGTATAAATATATCAGTGGTTCATATAGTGAACTCGATGTAGAATCATCACAAAGGACAAGGGGGCACTCTGGAGGAAAATAAATTTAATCTCCAAACACGGAAAGGTTTCTTCACAGTAAGAGCTGTGAAAATGTGGAACTCCCTCAAGCGTTGGTTCTGGCTAGCTCAGTGGATTGCTTTAAAAAAGGCCTGGATTCTTTCTTGCATACACAGAATATAACTGGATACTAACATTTATAAGTAGATTCAGGAAATATTCCAATTGCCTCTTGGGGGATCAGGAAGGATTTTTTTCCCCTACAGGAGCAAATTGGATCATGTTTTGCTGGGGTTTTTTGCTTTCCTGTGGATCAACTGTTGGTGTAGGACTCTAACTTTTTTTTTTAAATGGTTGAACTGGATGGACTTTTGCCTTTTTTCAGTCAGACTAGCTATATGTAACTATGTAACTATGAACAGAGTTCTTGTTTCATAGAATGATGTTTGACTGTTTTTACTGAATGCGAAACAATGCTTAGGAAATACAGCAAATACAATAGGAGCATGCAAAAAAGACAAATACTCATGTACACTTGGCTCAAAAAATACCATTAACCCTAAATAGATTGGAGAGCTGATATAGCTAGCTGTAGATATGGCTCAGGAACTGAATAGTTGTATTTAAAAGTAAGCTCTACCTTTGAAAATGAATCATACCACCTTCAATATTTTATTTATTTATATTTTATTTAAATAGCAAGGGTATGGCCATTTTATAATTAAATGTTAAAGAAATATTTGTTGCCTAACAATGTTATGAGAAATATCTAGCAAAGAACATATGCCATACTCTGCATTAAGACATTATAATATTACTTTGACCTTTACATAAACAGCACTTTGGGGAATATATTATTTTGATTCAGCTTCATGCTAATTTGGATGCTGAATTATTTTCTAGAATTCTGTTTTTTGTTAGATAGGAAATTAAAAAAAAGTTTTAACCACTGTTACTTCATTAAACACGAGTCTTGACTCTTTTGCACTTTATTAATATTTGTTTGATACTATATAGTGTTATGAAGTGTTACCTTAACTTAGTATCTGGTCATTGTTTAACGCTCCAAATATTCAGCACAGTTACATTGTCTATGGGCAGCATAGTGTCTATGCGATTAGAAATGATATCACAGTAGTGGATTCTTAGGTTCAATTCCAATGAGAGACATCAGCAGCATAGAGGAAGTATGCTACCTCTATTTTAAAATCCAGATTCACCTGACAAGCTCCCTACTCTGGGACCAGGGCTATTGTGGGTATTTCTATATAATCTATAACTTCCGGCCTAC